TGATCCATACTTCAAGGTAAAACACAATGATCTATACTTTAAGGTAAAACACAATGATCCATACTTTATCTTAAAACACAATGATCCATACTTTAAGGTAAAACACAATGATCCATACTTTAAGGTAAAACACAATGATCTATACTTTAAGGTAAAACACAATGATGATCCATACTTTATCTTAAAACACAATGATCCATACTTTATCTTAAAACACAATGATCCATACTAAAAGGTAAAACACAATGATCCATACTTAAAGGTAAAACACAATGATCCATACTTTATCTTAAAACACAATCATCCATACTTTAGGGTAAAACACAATGATCCATACTTAAAGGTAAAACTCAATGATCCATACTTTAAGTAAAACACAATGATCCATACTTTATCTTAAAACACTATGATCCATACTTAAAGGTAAAACACAATGATCCATACTTTAAGGTAAAACACAATGATCCATACTTAAAGGTAAAACTCAATGATCCATACTTTAAGGAAAAAATAATTGATACGTTCTAGTGAATAACAATCTATTGTTTGTAAAGTGATCCTTATACAGGTGCTGACTTCAGGGCAGATTGAGGATTGTGTTGCTTTACTTTCGTTCATCTTAACAGATGTCCATTTCATCACAATAACTGACCAAGCTAAATTGTCTGATACATATACCCAGAGTTCACTATAGGTATATCTATTACTATTGCAAGTGGACGCTGTGTTTTAAGTAGAAGAACGCCTGACTTATTTTCTCACAGAATAATTTGGCTGTATCGCATTATATCGAGTATCAACAGAAAGGTAAAACACTATTGAAGAGCTAATTAAATAATATAAACAGACTCGTCTTTGTCATCATGCTCATATCTTAATTGTTATTTACCTACTGAGCAAAGTTAGTGACCTCTCCCCTGTAATAACTATTATTTACTTTAGACAATGTGACAATATCACTGCCCTTAATTTGTTAACGAACTTTCAGAACCTAATTTTCTGGATACGTTCTGCGATCAGAATATATCAATCACAAATAATACACTACTTAACATTTATAGCACAATGGCGAGGTACACATATATTAAATATATCACCGCATTACAATACACTACATTCAAATAAAATACATTACAATGCATTAAAGTTTATTAAAAAACAAAACATTAACATTACACTACTTTACATTTATATTGAACATATACCACATTACAGCACACGACGTTCAAATAAGAATTACAGGATATTATAGTAAAAATTGAACAGAATTTGTTTTCATATTTATTTTTACCTGGAAGTTTTTCTTTTTAAATATATTTTTATAGTTCTCTGATTACGATGGCCGATATCGGACTGTCAAAACAGTGTTACTAGTAATATATGTTTTTGTCGATGAAATATGTACCTACATTTTATGTGGCAATTAAACCTACGACTCCTAGTAAAAAAAATGTACACAAAATCGGTACGTACACATTTCAATGACAAAAACGTACTACTAATTACACTGTTTTGACAGTCTGATCTCGGCCATCGTAGATTATTGTATAGATTTACCCAGGATTTAAACCCGATGCCCGTTACAAAAGTTGGTCATCACGTTTTGGCCTCGTGCTGTTGGGCGTGGCCCCGGTTAATAACACATCATCATGTTTCATCACAGGCGATCACTTCTCTTACGTCATACGACTGATCTCCTGCTGAAATTAGACTCTGCGTCACCCCGCCTAGCGTTAGTAACACTATAATCTCAGTTTACTCATTAGATACGGTATATACTCATAAATAAGATTTCTATTGTTGAGAAACACTCACGCGAACTCATTACACTCATTGAGGACTCGTACATATACTAAATCCCATACACGGAAAGCTGCATTATCGGTATATATATATGTTTTATATTTTTAACGTTCGATTCCAAGAAAGAACAAATATATCGCAAATATTTTATTTTTCTCTTATTGATAGTGCATAATATTAGCATGCTATCAATATTGTTTGAATTACCTCAAGGTACTGCCGCCACTAATTAGTTAGTATGTTAGGAATCTATACGATTGCTGTCCGATATTATTGAATATACTGATATAGAAAAGAAGGGAGGGATAATAATTTAACTTGATCAACAGAAAGCGTTTGTTAGAGTAGAATGGAGCTGGTTAGAGAACAGTTTAAGGAAATTTAATTTTGGAAAAACAATGATAGAGTACATTAATATGACCTACAAATATTCCAAAAGCTGTAATCTAACAAATGGCCATATGTCCAATTTCTTTAACCTATCACGTTCTGTAAAACAAGGATGCCCTTTGGCACCAATTTTATATATAATTCAGGCAGAGGCACTTGCCTGCTCCATAAGGAAAGATAAAAATATAATAGGTGTTGTCCTTCCGGAAGTAAATAATATATACATTTAAACAAAAATAAGCATGTTTGCAGATGATTCACAACTGTTTCTAGGTAAAGAAAATTCACTGTCGTTTTTATTCAAGATTTTAGAAAAATATGAGATAGCATCAGGTGCACGGGTAAATAGAAAGAAAACAAAAGGCCTGTACATAGGCAGCTGGAAGCAAAGACCCCCAAACTATACAGATATATCATGGGTCAGAGACAATATCAAGGTATTAGGAATATTTCATGGATATAGTATAGATAAAACAAGGCTGTGGTAGAGTAAAATTTTAAAAATATGAAAACATAATCATTTCATGGAAAGTGAGAAATTTGACATACAATGTAAGAAGGGAAAACTCCAACAATCAAATCCCTACTATGCTCTCGGTTAACTTATGAATTAGCACAAAACATCATACCTGAAGATAAAAAAATAAACAAATTAATACATGAATTTCTTTGGGGTAGTAAAATAAATAAAGTGGCAAAATAAACTACTTATTTAGAAAAGGGACAGGGAGGGTTAAATATGACTGATATAGAGATAATTGTTACAATGAATAGAATCAAACTAATATATAGAGTAATTCATAGTGAAATACAGACGTGGAACATACTAGGTAAACATTTTCTGCAAAGCTATGACAGAGCTTACAATACAAATTATTTCTTATGTAGATGCAGCAACACTCATAATTTCGAGTTGAAAAAAAATCTGGCAATTTATCGAGAGGGAATTAGGCATTGGCAAAAACTGCTAAAAAGTAACAGTAAGCAGTGCAGAAGATGTCCTTAACCAAAATTTATTTGGGAATAATAATTTATTATTAAAAAATAGTCCACTTTTTATTCAAAAATTGAGCAAGGAGTGGAATAACAAAGATAAAACATATCTGAAATGTTGGACAAAATAACGTTATTTCATCAGAACAATTACCGAAAAAGTTAAAAAGTAAATATAACTGGATGTTGGAATTCTCAAAAATCAGAGGGCCCCGTCCGTCCGAGTGGAAAAACATACTACAAAATAATAATGAAAACAATATTAGTGCCTTTAAAAGTTTCAGATGACTTAGTTTACACTTATAAAAACAGCATTTTAGCCATGAACAAGTGTTTAAACAAAACAATTAAATATATATTGTATCAAAATAGTAAAGAGATAAAATCCCTTCAGAAATGGAATGATCTTTTTGCATTGGACTGGAATGCCGTCTGGCTCTCTATAAAAAAACACTATCATTGATAGGAAAATCAAGGATTTTCAGTGGAGAAGGCTACACAGAAATGAATGCAGATATCAAATGGCCTATGTAACTTTGGTAAAGAAGTACCTGAAACCCCAACAACATCTTTTTAGTGGGTGCATGTTTAGTGAAACAATTTGGTTCAGGATAGAACAATAACTAAATGAATGTCTAGCAACAAGCAATGTACATATAAGTTTAACAGAAAAGGAAAGAATCTTTGGTGTCTCAGAATATAATGATAATATAAATAAACTATGTAATCTAATCATATTTCAGTCTAAATGGCTAATTTGGAAGGCAAGAAATCTACAGATATTTGAAAATGAAGATTAAATTCCACTATCATTATTTACAAATGTAATAGAATAAGAAACCAATTGAAAAATACAGCGGATAATATAATAAGTTCAAACAGACAACATTATACATTCATTGCTTTAATTCATTCATTGAAATCACAACTATAATTAATACAAATACAATTATGTTGCTACTGTAATGAAGTACAAAACGAATTGTTTGGATAGGTTATGCTTTTATATTATGTACAGTCTCTTTTTAAATTTACCTTTTCTAAATAATGGAAATAATGAGTGAATGGATGTGCCTGTGTGATAATTGGAATGAAAAGGAAATTATATATATATATAGTTTACATGGAACGCAAGAATAACATATAGTCATTGTACTTTTTAGTTTTTGATATTTCAATCTGATGAAAATTTACATAATAAAAAACAATGTATACTGGTAATAAGAATGAAGTAGAATGATGTATAGAACAGTGTATGCTGGTTATAAGATGAAGAATGATGTATAGAACAGTGTATGCTGGTTATAAGATGAAGAATGATGTATAGAACAGTGTATGCTGGTTATAAGATGAAGAATGATGTATAGAACAGTGTATGCTGGTTATAAGATGAAGAATGATGTATAGAACAGTGTATGCTGGTTATAAGATGAAGAATGATGTATAGAACAGTGTATGCTGGTTATAAGATGAAGAATGATGTATAGAACAGTGTATGCTGGTTATAAGATGAAGAATGATGTATAGAACAGTGTATGCTGGTTATAAGATGAAGAATGATGTATAGAACAGTGTATGCTGGTTATAAGATGAAGAATGATGTATAGAACAGTGTATGCTGGTTATAAGATGAAGAATGATGTATAGAACAGTGTATGCTGGTTATAAGATGAAGAATGATGTATAGAACAGTGTATGCTGGTTATAAGATGAAGAATGATGTATAGAACAGTGTATGCTGGTTATAAGATGAAGAATGATGTAGTGATATGTAAAACAATGTATGTTTGTTACAAGATGAAGAATGATGTAGTGATGTAGATGCTAAGTATATAAAAAAAAGTTGCAAATTATTGAAATAAAACATTTTGAAAGAAAAAAATAGTTAGTATGCGCATGACCAAAAACGTCTTAACCACTAACCATTAACAATTGACTCGCGGTATTTCCGGTCATGCGCATACTGACTAATAGCATTTGTGAAGCTAACTTGAAATTTTGTTCGGTCATAAAAAACTGGCGTTTATTTAGAGGAAAGTTAATAACTATATAACTAACTAATTTGTTAATCAATGTTCTTTCCTTAGCTCTCAAGGACAACACAATTAAGAAACAAATGTACTGAAAGTACTCAAACGGCAAGATGACGAATATAGCCGGATCAGCTACAGTCGTGTTCACAACAATTCTGATTGTCGTAATTATATCTGTATAAAAGTAATATTATTTCCACCTGAAGCTTTATTTACCACCGCGTAACTGGGAGTTTCCAGACCGGCATTGGAAACACCTACTTCAATTGTAGAACTATTTCCGGAAGCAACAACCACTGCTGACGCGCTCCCTTCTGATAAACTAGTCTCTGAGTCTGTGGTGTCGTCAAAGAGAGGGTTATCATATGTATTGTTTTTATATGCGATAGGATGAACTGGTGTGGTTCCAGCTGGGTACATATCGCAGGGTGGAGGTGAGCTAGGGAATGCTGAATAGTCATGAAGGACGATTTCCTTCATGTCTTCATCGCTTCTGTTGTGAACGGAACGGTCAAAGTGAGACTTAAGGCTTGTAAACTGACTGTAATCTGGATTGGAATAAGTCTGCATTCCCCTGTAGGTCTGTTTCTCACTGAAATGAAGGAAAATAGTATAAAACTTACAAATTGTTTCGCTTAAAAATGGATTTTGAACACTTTACCATCGAAGATCACGTTTTAAATAAGATTAGTGTTTTCATTGGTTTTTCATGGATATCCATTAAACAATGAAGCTCATCATTATTTTTACACAAAAGCAGTATAAAGAATTGTTGATGTTATAAAGATATTTTTATTTAGGTTCATCAAACTGACGAAGCAATTTTTCCTTAATTTTGCAGTGTAGGTAAATACCTCAGCACAGACGTGTAGCTGACAACCGTGTTTCAAATCACGGTTGGGTTTGTTTGTGTTTTACGTCCTATCAACAGCTATGGTCATTAAGGACGTGCCAGGTTTTGGCGGTGTAGGAAATCCGGAGTTTCTATAGAAAAAACCACCGACCTACAGCCAGTACCTGGCGACTGCCCCACGTAGGTCTCGAACCCGCGACCCAGTGGTGGAGGGCTAGTGGCAGCAGAATGTCAGGCTCCTTAACCACTTGGCCACCACGGCCAAAATCTAACACGTGTGTATGTAACATTTTCTATCATGACCGATTAATAAATTGCAAGCTTCAAAATTCTCATGAGATATTTGATGACTTCAGAAGTGTTCGTTATCTGTGTACTACGGCACACTTTTATGTGGTACACAAATATATGGAAAATCAAATAATCTTGTAGATCAACCTTGAATACAGTACTGTCAGCTAGGGATACTCACCGGCGACAGAACACACGGATAACTAGGATCACGACAAGGAGAAAAAATCCGCCAACAACTGTCGGGATGATGATGTCTACTGCAAAAGACACATTCGACAGGATTTATCGGAACTCATGTCAAAAGAGATATTTATTTATTTATTTATTTTGAATGTTTGACATGCTCTAGATATAGAACTACACTTAACATTAACACCAAGTGATAATGACTATTTAAAACTCTGTACTCTGAGGTACGATTAGGAAAACGTTCCAATGCCTTTTTAAGCTATGACTTATTTTATCAAATGAACGCAACACGACTTTCGGCCATTGTAGCAAGCCAAGAAGGCGGGACATTACTTTGAAACGATTACTATTGTTACAAAGATTGAAATTTATTTAATTATCTAACTTAGGAAAAACAACCGTCATAAATGTTACGCTGTTTCTATTACACATCGTTAGTTAAAAGGGAACATTTTGTGTTAATCATATTTCCGGGTACAACATTTTATAATATATCATCTAAAGATCAAAACGATACCAGAATATCGTCGACGATTCTAAAACTTTTTGTAGTCATGGAAACACAACTAAATGTGTGGATCCGTCCTCCCTATATATACTATTGTGGATCCGTCCCCCCTATATATACTATGGTGGATCCGTCCTCCCTATATATACTATGGTGGTTCCGTCCCCCTATATATACTATGGTGGATCCGTCCCCCCTATATATACTATGGTGAATCCGTCCCCCCTATATATACTATGGTGGATTTGTCCTCCCTATATATACTATTGTGGATCCGTCCCCCCTATATATACTATTGTGGATCCGTCCCCTCTATATATACTATGGTGGATCCTCCCCCCTTTATATACTATGGGGGATCCGTCCCCCCAATATATACTATGGGGGATCCGCCCCCCTATATATTCTATGGTGGAGCCGTCCTCCCTATATATACTATGGTGGGTCCGTCCCCCCTATATATACTATGGTGGGACCGTGCTCCCTATATATACTATGGTGGATCCGCCTCCCTATATATACTATGGTGGATCCGTCTTCCCTATATATACTATGGTGGATCCTTCCTCCCTATATATACTTTGTTGGTCCCGCCCCCCTATATATACTATGGTGGATCCGCCCCCCTATATATACTATGGTGGATCCGTCTTCCCTATATATACTATGGTGGATCCGTCTTCCCTATATATACTATGGTGGATCCTACCCCCTATTTATACTATGGTGGATCCGTCCTCCCTATGTATACTATGGTGGTTCCGTCCCCCGATATATACTATGGTGGATCCGTCCTCCCTTTATATACTATGGTGGATCCTCCCCCCTTTATATACTATGGGGGATCCGTCCCCCCAATATATACTATGGGGGATCCGCCCCCCTATATATTCTATGGTGGAGCCGTCCTCCCTATATATACTATGGTGGATCCTTCCTCCCTATATATACTATGGTGGACCGGTCCCCCTATATATACTATGGTGGATCCTCCTCCCTATATATACTATGGTGGGTCCGTCCCCCCTATATATACTATGGTGGGACCGTCCTCCCTATATATACTATTGTGGATCCGTCCCCTCTATATATACTATGGTGGATCCTCCCCCTATATATACTATGGTGGAACCGTCCCCCCTATATATACTATGGTGGGACCGTGCTCCCTATATATACTATGGTGGATCCGCCTCCCTATATATACTATGGTGGATCCATCATCCCTATATATACTATGGTGGATCCTACCCCCTATTTATACTATGGTGGATCCGTCCTCCCTATATATACTAGGGTGGATCCGTCCTCCCTATATATACTATGGTGGTTCCTCCCCCCTATATATACTACGGTGGATCCGTCCTCCCTATATATACTAGGGTGGATCCGTCCTCCCTATATATACTTTGGTGGATCCTTCCCCCTATATATACTATGGTGGATCCGTCCCCCCTATATATACTATGGTGGGACCGTCCTCCCTATATATACTATGGTGGATCCGTCCCCCCTATATATACTATGGTAGATCCGTCCCCCCTATACATACTATGGTGGATTTGTCCTCCCTATATATACTATGGTGAATCCGTCCTCCCTATATATACTATGGTGGATCCGTCCCCCTATATATACTATGGTGGATCCGTCCCCCCTATATATGGTGGATCCGTCCCCCCTATATATACTATGGTGAATCCGTCCTCCCTATATATATACTATAGTGGATCCGTCCCCCCTATATATACTATGGTGGATCCTCCTCCCTATATATACTATGGTGGATCCGTCCTCCCTATATATACTATGGTGGATCCGTCCACCCTATATATACTATGGTGTATCCGTCCTCCCTATATATACTATAGTGGAACCGTCCCCCCTTTATATACTATGGTGGATCCGTTCTCCCTATATATACTATGGTGGATCCTCCCCCCTATATATACTATGGTGGATCCGTTCTCCCTATATATACTATGGTGGATCCGTCCCCCCTATATATACTATGGTGGATCCGTCCCCCCTATATATACTATGGTGGATCCGTCCTCCCTATATATACTATGGTGGATCCGTCCCCCCTATATATACTATGGTGGATCCGTCCCCCCTATATATACTATGGTGGATCCGTCCCCCCTATATATACTATGGTGGATCCGTCCCCCCTATATATACTATGGTGGATCCGTCCCCCCTATATATACTATGGTGGATCCGTCCCCCCTATATATACTATGGTGGATCCGTCCCCCCTATATATACTATGGTGGATCCGTCCCCCCTATATATACTATGGTGGATCCGTCCCCCCTATATATACTATGGTGGATCCGTCCCCCCTATATATACTATGGTGGATCCGTCCCCCCTATATATACTATGGTGGATCCGTCCCCCCTATATATACTATGGTGGATCCGTCCCCCCTATATATACTATGGTGGATCCGTCCCCCCTATATATACTATGGTGGATCCGTCCCCCCTATATATACTATGGTGGATCCGTCCCCCCTATATATACTATGGTGGATCCGTCCCCCCTATATATACTATGGTGGATCCGTCCCCCCTATATATACTATGGTGGATCCGTCCCCCCTATATATACTATGGTGGATCCGTCCCCCCTATATATACTATGGTGGATCCGTCCCCCCTATATATACTATGGTGGATCCGTCCCCCCTATATATACTATGGTGGATCCGTCCCCCCTATATATACTATGGTGGATCCGTCCCCCCTATATATACTATGGTGGATCCGTCCCCCCTATATATACTATGGTGGATCCGTCCCCCCTATATATACTATGGTGGATCCGTCCCCCCTATATATACTATGGTGGATCCGTCCCCCCTATATATACTATGGTGGATCCGTCCCCCCTATATATACTATGGTGGATCCGTCCCCCCTATATATACTATGGTGGATCCGTCCCCCCTATATATACTATGGTGGATCCGTCCCCCCTATATATACTATGGTGGATCCGTCCCCCCTATATATACTATGGTGGATCCGTCCCCCCTATATATACTATGGTGGATCCGTCCCCCCTATATATACTATGGTGGATCCGTCCCCCCTATATATACTATGGTGGATCCGTCCCCCCTATATATACTATGGTGGATCCGTCCCCCCTATATATACTATGGTGGATCCGTCCCCCCTATATATACTATGGTGGATCCGTCCCCCCTATATATACTATGGTGGATCCGTCCCCCCTATATATACTATGGTGGATCCGTCCCCCCTATATATACTATGGTGGATCCGTCCCCCCTATATATACTATGGTGGATCCGTCCCCCCTATATATACTATGGTGGATCCGTCCCCCCTATATATACTATGGTGGATCCGTCCCCCCTATATATACTATGGTGGATCCGTCCCCCCTATATATACTATGGTGGATCCGTCCCCCCTATATATACTATGGTGGATCCGTCCCCCCTATATATACTATGGTGGATCCGTCCTCCCTATATATACTATGGTGGATCCGTCCCCCCTATATATACTATGGTGGATCCGTCCTCCCTATATATACTATGGTGGATCCGTCCCCTCTATATATACTATGGTGAGGGTAGACTCGTGTTACAGTGCCCTGTGGTTGATTTATCAAGTAAGAAAAAAACAAAACAAACAATAACAATGATAATAGTAAACAAATGCAACAGCTACTTTACGTAGGAACGATTCGGTATATAACTCACGGTTGCCCTGGCTTGTGTTCATCTTGTTCGTGGCGTCCCCGCGAATTGTTGTACCGGAAGTGGTTACCGGCGGTGAGATTAGCTTAGTGCTACTAGAAGACGCCATTATGATATCTTGGGATGTCGAAGACTGAGTTGGTTCTTTTGCTGTGGTTTGGAGTGTAGTTGTAGTGGTTAGAGTTGTTGTTGGTTGTTTTGTAGTGGTTAGAGTTGTCGTTGGTTGTTTTGTATTGGGTTGCGGTGTGGTAAGTTGCGATGTTGTTGGTTGTTGAGATGAAGGCTGATTTGTTGTAGGCTGTAGGTAGGTTGTTTTTGATGTGTTATTTTGCGTTGTAGTTGGTATTGGAGTAGAAGACGCTGTAACTGGTGTTGACGTTGTTGTGGAGGTTGATGCTGTCGTGGTGAGTGTAGAGGTAGTTTGTATATCATTAGAACACGTTACATTGGCAGTCGACAAAATGTTTTCTGAAAAAGATCGATACCAAAACGACATGTTAAACAGCGCAATCATAGCTTGGTATAAAATGCTACATTATAATAATAGGGAATAGCACATAATGTTGTAAGTTTCTTAGAATACACTAAATTAAAAACTAACGTTTCTCTAAAGGAAGGCAAATAAAAGTGATGATAACAAAATACACTGTATATAGTACATCCAACAGCCTGCTTACCCAGTGTTAGTGATACGCAATATCTGGAGTCACTTTGTGGCTGTCGGAACAGCGTCATCGTGATGACGTCACCGTCCTCTACCGTCATGCTCTCCGCTACATAGTGACACTGCCCAGTAATCTTTTCTCCGTTAGCTCGCTGAACTTCTACATATGATTCACAACCAGAGTTTGGTCCCAGGTCTTTAAAATTCGAAATTGATAAAGACGTAGTTCCAGATGGTGAATGTACCAAAACCTTACACCCGCACGTGCTCAGACCGAGGTCATTGGTATCATACATGTCGACGAGGACACTTCGGCCCAGGCTTGTCCCTCCAGCACATATCTTGCTCACTTAAAGACGAAATGGCTTCATATGATAAATTTATCATTTCATCATTGCTTGCTATACGTGCATATTATATATTTCTTAATACATTATAATACAATAGAAGTTAAAGAACATAATGGTTTTGGATGGATGTGTTCCATTATAAATCTATCAACCAAGAACACGTCTGTATATGTAAAGATAGTTTGACTACTCATTGAGCACCACTCCTTATCATAAAGGTCTAATAACCATATGCCAGAGTTCTCTGTTAATACAAATTATAGAATCTAATATACGGTACTGGTGGTTCATGTGCAGATAAATGCAAAACAGGGGTTCGATTTGTGTTTTCCAGAACGAGGCTTTGACCTGTTGTGTACACTAGAAAATCTTATTTTCGGAAGGACATTCTTCTTTCTGTGTCATGTAAGATGATTGGGTGTTGCCCTTGCCAGACATTTGTTTTTAAATATAAGTAATTAAATACACCTTTCACTAGCCAAACTTTATCTCACAACGTTGCTGTAGTACAGCGTGTGCCAACTGTCCGGACCAGTGAACTAGAAAAATGTTCTAGTACCGTAAAAGTTTGATAACAACTCAAGCCGGTAGCTACACATATGAAGTCTGATACTTACAGGAATATCCGTCTATGTTTCCAAGCAGCTCGCAATCATTCGGCAAGGCTCCAACTGCAAGGTTAAGTTTGCGCGTTTTACAATATTTTATAAAATACAGTCCAATTATGAATACTGCGTAGCGCTAAAATTCATATGTAATAAGCCTACTTTTTATATTGCTGATTAAGTTTCGGATATACGGATATATCTACGGCCTGGTTCCGGGTGGAGCTTGTCTTATTACGTACATGTAATATGATAGTGTCAATGGCTGCGCAAGGTCTGATGCTATTTGGAGGTCTGGGTAAGAGGCTGATGACAATTTCTTTGACACGGTGTTATTTAACCAGTAATTACTTCTGTCTAAGACTTTATGTATAGCACTTACTGGCATTGAACGCCATACCCCATTCTTTAATCTCGAGCAGCAGGTCTTCTTGGAGTGTCAGATGGTTCTAGTACAATTATATATATATATATTGGATGGTCGGTGGTGCAGTGGATAGCGCACTCGCCTTTCACCAAGGCGACCGGGGTTCGATTCCCGATTGGACGTGAAAAGGTATAGGGTCACCTGCCCGACCACGTGGGTTTTCCCCGTGTACTCCGGTTTCCTCCTACATTAAGACCCTAAGCGCGCTTCAATCCGGGCCAACAAGAGTGATTTATAAGTTGAAATAACTTGTTTCGTAATTGTTATAAAATAAATAAAGTTTATATTATATAGTACAATTATCGTCAACATTCGAATTTAAGATTAACGGCGTTTTGAAGATTGATATTGATTTATATGGAAAAGGAAAGAAAAGTCCATGTTCCATAAGATATCAACTGGGACTTTTCCTTCTATAACATAATATCTCGAATCAGTAATACACATTATAATGGCTGTATGCATAAGCGCCGGAATTCCTCCATTATTTGACATAGATAACCTGATCTACGGTACCTTATCACATACATCTGTACATCTTACCTTGTCCGTGTGTTTCTGTAGTTAACTTTAAACAGACGTTTATTACAAAAGGCTATAGGTTTCTAGACGATATTTTTTTCTCCCTTTTCTTTTATAAATAACTGGATTTTTGTTTTCCCTCGGTGACGTTCTCGGTAGTGTGAGCAATGTCTAAAGAATGTCGGAATATCAAATTTAACCCGCAGGTCAGCCGAGTAGACCACTTTTCTGGAATTGTATTCGGTTACACGGCCCTTAAAAACTTACGATACTATATCCTGCAGATTTTTATGTCGGGTATTGGTTTTCTTGTCCGCGTCGTCCAGGGTATCTGTTGATGTCCCTGGTGAAAACACTATTTTATTACTCAATGTTTACACATATGTTTTCCAATGTAACATAATCGTAGGGATTCAGCCATAAAACCTTACAGTCCAGGGCGGAATGTTGGAGTCCATACTCTACTTCATCTGCCAACACCCTCAGCTTTAAAGCCCTTCCCTGGTGCTATCTATACGACGCTGACCTTATGAGTATATTATATATCGCCGTTGTTTGTGAATGTCTGCTGACGAGAAACCATCGTGTTCCAAAGAGTACACATATATACCTATCTTATCGCTGTGTTTTAAGATAAACATATCTTTTTTTCAAATATAAATTACAAAAGCCCCTTTCCCGTCGTGTACCCAGTTCAAATTCAACGTATTTTGCAAAATCATCTTTCCATAGTGTATACATTTATATATCGCATTCCGTAGAGGGTAAAGTGTCACCAGCACTTGTCCATTTCACTATCCTCTGATATTGGACAATCTTTGAAACATAATTCTGCCTACCCTCAGTTGGTTGATGTTAGTGAGAGAAAAGCTTATACACCATTGATGTGTTTATTAATTAACAATTATTTAAAACAACAATTATGACTACAGTATTAAGATGACATAGTCTACACGTTGGTTCCCTGTCCCCGTCCGGAATGTGACTCGTATGAATAATAAAATTCATGTTAAAAGTCGTAATGAAATCTTACTCTACAAGCTTAATTGATGTACAAATGTGAGCTGTCCCGTTTATTTGCTTCAATCTATTGTACATAATGTACCGGGACAGGTTTAACCAGTCACTTTGGTGGGGAAGTGTCTTACAATGCTGTTTCCGGGTGATCTTACCTTGGTCTGTACAGTGCTAAGTATGGGTGCGTGATGCGCTATGTGCAGGCTTCTTTTTTTGATGTGTGGCCCCATTACAGTTCAGTAACCGATATGGTTACCGGCTTCTATGGAGCATATATCATATTACAGCTGTACATTACTGTTTTGTTTTGTAAGATGTAACGCATTGACAACTTCTCAAACCTACATGTATACCTATCACACCTTTAAGTACGTATGTACTTAAAATATGAAATGCTTCATTTGAAAAGTCTTGATGGTATGCAACACAGCTACGCTCAAACATATTCCATGACGCGCAGTAACGCATCTTGGAGATTAGGCTTGAACGGAACGGTGTGCATACCGTCAAGAATGTTTGAACAAATAAAGGTTAAACGATGCAGAGAGAAATATGATTTCAACGATCTTCGTGGTCTAATTTCGTGATTTAAGATATGTTTTAAACTGACTATTTTACCAGGTGGTGGAACAATAATTTTTGCGGGAACAAGAAAGTTATTTCTATGGTTACCCGTTCTGTGAGACGACGGACGGCGAACGGGAACTATTCGGGATATTCCGTCTGGATATGAATTGGACCTCACGTGATCATTGATTATAATTTGAGGGAAAAATCCGGACATTTTCGATCAGAAAACATTCATGTGTAATGATTCTTGCTGTTGTTGGTTTATAATAAGTTTTCAGTTGGTAGGTATATCTATTATTTATCTGAGGGCTGTACAAAGGAAATATTAATTTTATGAATAAAATCAAACGTCAGTCGGACGACAATATATAGTTGTTTTCATAGCTCTTTCTCACCGTGAATTACAAGGAAAACACTGGCCCTCACTGTGATCACGTTTACACGGCATTAAACTGACGATACCATCGTACGGAGATGGTACATGTTGCATGACTTCCGTGATTGAATAGAAATCTGATTATGTGTAAATTTATTTGTGTCACGTGCTATAAATGATAGTTTTAATTTTATATTAAAAAATGCTAGCTAAGACGTACAGGATTTACATGTATTTCGTCTTTATTGTGACGTCATAATTTATAGTATACGTCACTGAGTAAACCCAAGTGAGATACACGTATCACACGTATCACATGTATCACACGTATCACATGTATCACACGTATCACATGTATCACATGTATCACATGTATCACACGTATCACATGTATCACATGTATCACACGTATCACATGTATCACATGTATCACATGTATCACATGTATCACATGTATCACATGTATCACACGTATCACATGTATCACACGTATCACATGTATCACATGTATCACATGTATCACATGTATCACATGTATCACATGTATCACACGTATCACATGTATCACATGTATCACATGTATCACATGTATCACATGTATCACATGTATCACACGTATCACATGTATCACATGTATCACACGTATCACATGTATCACATGTATCACACGTATCACATGTATCACATGTATCACATGTATCACATGTATCACATGTATCACATGTATCACACGTATCACATGTATCACATGTATCACACGTATCACATGTATCACATGTATCACACGTATCACATGTATCACATGTATCACACGTATCACATGTATCACATGTATCACACGTATCACATGTATCACATGTATCACACGTATCACATGTATCACATGTATCACACGTATCACATGTATCACATGTATCACACGTATCACATGTATCACATGTATCACACGTATCACATGTATCACATGTATCACACGTATCACATGTATCACATGTATCACACGTATCACATGTATCACATGTATCACACGTATCACATGTATCACATGTATCACACGTATCACATGTATCACATGTATCACACGTATCACATGTATCACATGTATCACACGTATCACATGTATCACATGTATCACACGTATCACATGTATCACATGTATCACACGTATCACATGTATCACATGTATCACACGTATCACATGTATCACATGTATCACACGTATCACATGTATCACATGTATCACACGTATCACATGTATCACATGTATCACACGTATCACATGTATCACATGTATCACACGTATCACATGTATCACATGTATCACACGTATCACATGTATCACATGTATCACACGTATCACATGTATCACATGTATCACACGTATCACATGTATCACATGTATCACACGTATCACATGTATCACATGTATCACACGTATCACATGTATCACATGTATCACACGTATCACATGTATCACATGTATCACACGTATCACATGTATCACATGTATCACACGTATCACATGTATCACATGTATCACACGTATCACATGTATCACATGTATCACACGTATCACATGTATCACATGTATCACACGTATCACATGTATCACATGTATCACACGTATCACATGTATCACATGTATCACACGTATCACATGTATCACATGTATCACACGTATCACATGTATCACATGTATCACACGTATCACATGTATCACATGTATCACACGTATCACATGTATCACATGTATCACACGTATCACATGTATCACATGTATCACACGTATCACATGTATCACATGTATCACACGTATCACATGTATCACATGTATCACACGTATCACATGTATCACATGTATCACACGTATCACATGTATCACATGTATCACACGTATCACATGTATCACATGTATCACACGTATCACACGTATCACACGTATCACATGTATCCCTCATGCGACACGTGTAACTCACGCAGATAACATATTCTCCTATCATGCTGCACATCGCAACCATCTAATCAAAGTTTGCGTGATATATACACTTTATGACTCAAGGAGATACATGTTGGTCAGACTTGCTTTAAACAAGATGGCGAAAACAGTGGTTGTGGCAGGTTTCTGCCAATTTCGGATGGTGATTTTGGCAACAG